TTTTTTTTTTTGTTAAAGATCTTTGCTATAGATTGAGTGCACTTGCTGGACAGGAGAGAGACAGAGAGAGACAGTGAGAGGGAAAGTGAGAAATCACCCCTTAGAGGGGATGGTCATGCTGCAATCCCTTCTCCTCCATTCTCCTCCTGGGGTTTTAGGCACACATACACGTATATGATTTTCAAGCTGCCAGGTCTAGGACTCAAACCTATAACTGACCATATGGGAGTCCAGTGCCTTAACCACTATTAACTACTGTACCACCTGCTGGCCCCAATACATGTTTATTTTTATCTGTCTACTTAATGATCTCAGGTGTCTTCTCCCTTCCCTGCCCCCTAGGAATTATTTATTTAATTTTATTTATTATTATTTAAAAAAATTTGATCAGAGAGAGAGGAAAAAAGGTAAAGTGAGAAAGCAAGTCTCCAGGTCCAGGACTCAAACCATAATTGACCATCTGGGAATTCAGTGCCTTAACCAACATGCCACCTGCCGACCCTGATCTCAGGTTTCTTCTAAGCCACTACCCTGGGCAACAATAATCCAACTGGTGTGGGTAGTATGCCAGTGCCAGAAATGCCCGTTGGCCCTGTGAGACCCTCACCAGTAGTATTACTAGAACACTGAGCTCTCAAGTGTGAACGTTACTGGTTTTCCTGAGAGGATGGTTGTCTCTAGGATCAGTGTTGCTGTTTGTGTCTTGCCATGACTCAAGGTGAGGGTCAAGACAGCTTTCTCCTGCAGCCCTAGGAAGCTGCAGCTTCACATTCTGTCTGCGACACAAGAACCCAGAAGGACAGTTGCACTTAACTACAGAAAGTGAGACCAAACAAAAAGTTAAATCTGCTCCCCGCTTTTCTTGGAGGCAGCTTTGCTGTAGTCCCAGCCAGAATTCCCTTAACTTGATTTTTTGGACACTGTGTGGCCCTGCTTCCTTCGCTGGTGCTGCACTTTGGCCTGACTCCTTTAGAACTCCTACATAGTACTCAGGTGTAACATACTTCCGGCCAGGAAGACTGAATTATTCAGGACCACAGGTCTATGTATGTATGTATGTGTATATATATGTGTGTGTATAATTAATAATATATATGTAATATAATAATTTAAACTGTTAGTTTCAATACTTAAACATTATTTAAAATGCCTAAAATTACACAGTTTGACAAATTATTTGGAGTGTGAGTTAGGTAGGAGGATAAAAAAAAAAATACAAAAATACACTTTTTTTCTCTAAATATTTGTGCATTAAAAATAAAAATATTTGGGGCCAGCGAGTGGTATAGTGGTTAATGCACTGGACTCCCACGTGGCTGACCGCAGTTCTAGTTCCAGATCTGGCAGCTTGAAAAGCATGCCAGGTGTGGTGTGCCCAAAATCCTGAGAGGAAAATGGAGGAGAAGGGATTACAGCATGGCATTCCCTCTGGGAAATGGTTTTTTACTTTCCCTCTCACTGTGTCTCTCTGGCGAGCATGTGTGCCCTATGGCAAAGACCTTACAAAATTTATAAATTTCCATGGGAAGTTTGGGGAGTAGAGTCCAAACAGTTAATAAGGTCATGATAGAAATAGTCAGAAAGTCATTCAAAATTATTAATAAATACCAGAGTTGGGTTTCCTAATCTGCTATGTATAATAAGTAATACATTTTTAATTCAGTAAATTTGAAAAATGTTAATAATTTAGCAACGTCTAACATTGTATTGCCAGTTATTGATGTATTGCTCAAATTTACTCCTGTTCCAAAAATACATAATTTACATTTTTTTTAGAGAGGTGCTTTTTTTTTTTTTTTTTTTTTTAGCTATAGGGCATGTGTGCTTGCTAGAAAGAGAGAGACAGAGATAGAAAGCGAGAAATCACCCCCCAGGGGCGATGGCCACGCTGCAATCCCTTCTCCTCCATTCTCCTCTGGGGATCTTGGGCACTCTCACACACGTGTCTGGCGTGAATTTAAGCCACCGAGTTTGGGACTCGAACCGCGGTTGACTACATGGGAGTTCAGCAACATAGCCATTTTGCTAACTACTGGTCCCCGTATAATTTACATTTTCCATCATACTATTAGCTATTGTAATTGTTTCTCTAGAATAATTTTGCAAAGCACATGAAATACTGAAAGCTGGATTTCATATGGCAAACTAACCATTTCACTTTTTTAGAATGTTTTCTCCCGCTTTCTCTTTCAGTCTTCCATATAAAGAGTTTTTTGGTGGTGTAAGTGGACTGACAGTGGAACAATTTAAAAAGATCAATGGTTTTCCTAATGCCTTCTGGGGATGGGGAGGAGAAGATGATGACCTTTGGAATAGGTATGTTGAGGTACAAATTACTTGATAATAGAATTTCTATAAACTCCATTTCTGTTAGGTAAATTGTACTTGCCTATTCCATGAAAAGATTCTTTGGGATGGAGAATTTTGAGGTTTCTAAATCCTGTTTGCATTTCTCCCTTTTTTACATGAAGGGAGCCTTTTGAAATTATTGTCAGCATTTATGTTCTTTTACATTTGACAGTTGAATTAACGCAATCTATTTTTATGTTAGATTTTATTTCTTTATATAATTTTCACTTCTATTTATTGTACAGAGTCCACTATGCTGGTTATAATGTAACCAGACCAGAGGGAGACTTAGGAAAATACAAGTCTATTCCTCATCACCATCGAGGTGAAGTCCAGTTTTTAGGACGGTAAGCTAAACGTTCTCTCTCACATAGGAAGGTTTCAAAGCTGTTTAAGATATAAAAGGTTGGGGTCAGCAGGTGGCATGGTGGTTAAGGTGATGGACTTCCACATGGTTGGCTGTGGTTCAAGTCCTGGTGGCGTAAAAAATCATCATAATGGGCATGTGTGCATGCTTGTCCCAAATCCCAGGAGAATGGAAAAGGGATTGTAGTATGGCCATCCCCCGTGAAGGGGGAGTTTCTCACTTTCCCTCTCATTATCTCTCTCTCTCTCTCTGGTGAGTGCACTTGCCCTATAGAGAAACCTTTTGTTTTTATATATATATGTGTATGTGTGTGTGTGTGTGTGTGTGTGTTACATATGTTAAAATATATATACATATGTATATATATATGGGGACCAGCAGTTAGCGTAATGGCTATGTTGCTGGACTCCCATGTAGTTTACCGTGGTTCAAGTCTCAGACCTGGTTGCTTAAACTCAGGCCAGGTGTGTGTGCCTGCGTGCCCAAGATCCCGAAAGGAGAATGGAGGAGAAGGGATCGCCGCGTGGCCATCCCCATATATATATATATATAGATGGTTAAAAAGATGAATTGCATCCAAAAAATCTGAAGAGAATTTCTTTGTGGAAGGAAAGAATTTTTTTGTACTTGTTTTAAAGAGATATATGTGTATGTATATGTGTGTGTAAAAATTATGCATGTATGTATTTAATATTAAAGAATCCAGTTAACTATTTTGTTCCCTAACATGAAACATAACACTATTTCCTAAGGCTGTCTAACTTTTGAGTGCAAAATCATTTTTTTAGGTTCTGTTTTCTGACTAGTAAAAATTCTAATTTGTAATCACAGTTTAGAGATTTTTAATTATGCATGAGAAACAGAAATTGTAAAGAGCAGAAAATACTTTAATTATAAGATGATTTTGAACATGTACCTAATCTGTTTTCCTTTTCGAAAGTGCTTCTGTTAACCTTTTTTCTTCTAACACCACAGGTACAAATTACTAAGATATTCTAAAGAGCGTCAGTACATTGATGGTTTGAACAATTTAATATATACACCAAAAATACTGGTTGATAGGTTATATACAAATATTTCTGTAAACCTCACGCCAGAGTTAGCTCCCATCGGAGACTATTAAAAGAAGTAGCTCTCATGGCAAGATAGACCCCCAACACTGGATGGTGTGCTCGGCGTTCACTCTTAATGGAGGTCAGTGATGGGATGGTGAGCGATGGAACACAGCGAGTGCCCTGTTCCCTGAGAAGAGCCAGCAGTCCTCAGTGTGTGCAGCGTGGGACTATAAACAGTCGCCGCCTTCCACCCTTCCTCTCTACCTTGAGACACCCCCATGGTGAGCGCTGCAGAACCCAGAAGCCATTGCTTAAGATTGGAAGTTGAGAGAGCTCCTTACAAAGAGAACACTTTTATACTAAAATCTATAATTTAATTCAAGAGAATGCTTTTATTTCCGTTTAACCTATTTTGTACATATGTGATGTAAATTAATGTGTTCAAATGGTTGAAAAATAGGATGTGTTGCAGTTTTGCATGTAATTGGTTATGCCTCTATTGGACTTTTATAGACCTTTTTTTATTTGCATGGAGAAGAACACTGTAAATTTATGTCACTAAACAAAGGTTAACCCTTGTGTGAAATGAAGGAACTGTCAATAATTGACAGCCAACTAATACAGTCAACTGTTATACTAGTTTTAAGCTTTAGATCTTCAGACTTTCGTGGGGAAGAAGTCATAGCTTTCCTAGGGCTTTAAAGGGAAAGAAAGGACCTAAACAGCTTTTCTTCTGAACAGGATTACTTATTTTTTTCCTTGCTTGCAATTTCATCAGATTTTGCTAAGTCACAACCATATCGTTTATGCATATTGCATGAGTATTACCAAGAAAAATTCAAAAGTTGTGATGTGACATGATATAAAGGACCTCTTTACGTTAAATGTCTCTCATGTACCTCTCGTGAAAGTGTCAGGGATTTTGTGCCTAAAAATGTATTCCCGAGGTGGTGGTTACTACACTGTATTTTTTTTTTTAATTCATAGAGTAGCACCTCTTTATTTTCAGTTCAGAAGAGCCAAAAATGTAGTTTTTTTTTTTTTTTTAAAGAATGATCTATGGAAAACCCAGTAGTGCTTATAATATACAAATGAATTATACTATTAGATAAGAAATGAAATGTTCTATTTTTATGAAGATAAAGGCTTAGATAGATACAAGTACATTTTAAGTTTACTTCTTAGACTTACAGATTTTCACTTCTGGAAGGGACCCTTTAATGTCACCAGTTTTATTCAAACCTTTTCTTTTTTTTAACTCAAAAAAATTAAATGGTGTTAATTATTAAGATTTTCTCACTAAAAGTATAGTTTAATAAAATAATCTTAAAATATGTTTCAGTTTATTAAAGGCACTGTTACTCTACTTCTCTGCAGACAATTCTTACTACCCAGTAATCAATTATATTTATCTTAAATTTGGATAAAATTTTCCAAGATAAAACTAAATCATCTAATTTTGAAAATGATCAGTTATGAAGATTCTTTAGCATACTTGAAGATATTTTCACAAATCTTAAAATATTGCTATCTGTAACGTGAGTCTTCAGCAACAGTGGAGAATGATAGGATCTGTATAGGAGAGATGTTTGAATAACATTTACTTTGTGGATTGTTCACCCAGAACAGAAATACAGCTGCTTATCTCAGGTTGTAAATTTAATTTCGAAGTGTCATTTTCTGTAGCAGTATTGTTAATACAAATGATCACAAACCAAATCATAAAATAATTGAAATTCTTATACTGTGAGAAAACTGATACCTACTCTGTCAAGAAACCAACCAGAAGTTCTCCATGTTTATTTCTGAGAAATATTTTCAAAATATGAAAAAAGCATAAATTTTTTTTATGGTCTGCAAAATAATGAAAAATCAAACCTTCTGAAAATTTAAGATATTTATACCTTGTTTGTATTTTGGTTCATGTTCTGGCAAAATAGTTTTTTTAATTTGATGAAATGAAGAAAAGTAGATTGGGAATGTTAACATCTGTTGATCACTAGTAAGATAGTAGGGGCATGGGAGCATTATTACAACAATAATACTGAAATAGTTTCATGACGGGAAAAATTAGGGCGGTTTCTGAGCTTATGGGGAGACATATTTTTCTTTTTCATGTGGAGCTGTCCACTTTGGTATCTTTTTATTTTGAAATACATTTCATAGTTTCAAGAGAACTTGGGACTGCTAGTATCTGCCTTACATTCTTGGGTCAAGTCTGACATTAATTTTTGATTTCGAAGTGGAATGTAAATATTTTTCTTTTGATCAGTTTTGATTATGATGTGTCATCCCATGAAAACACCTCATTAGTTTTCTTCTTTTATTTGCTTTTTAAGTGCAGACTTAAAGTGAGCATTGCCTATAAACAGTCGCCTTTATGTGTCTGCATAAGAGTCACAGAGCTTTCCCCAGGTATCACTGTGTAACAGTGAACCTGCTCCGTGGAGACTAGCAAGGACGCTGCACATGCAGATGATTTCTTTACAGTGTAGTTGGTGGCTGTGTTAGTGCCCGTTACTGACTGCGTACTCTGTCTCAGGTGCAGTGCTCGGTATGTCTGTGGAAAAAGTACTATCTCATTTCTAAACTGATCAACCCAAGGAACTTGAAACCTTTCTTAAATTATGAAGAAATCCTGGTACCTTACTGCTTATATTTCTTTGTCTCACAGTCAAAATACCTACATGTGTGAACACAGAGCTATTAGGAGATCCCTGTGGCACTACTGGGAAAATGATACAGTGCCTTTCATTTAGAGAAGAGGTAATGATTAATGGACCAATGTGTAGAAAAGAAGGAGAAGCGTAGACGCATTTGCTTTAACATTATGTCTAATTCACAGTAGAGCTAGTCATTTAATTTTTTTCCCCCAAACTAGGATTTAATAAATATCTACTGAAATTAGAATTTCTGTTTGTATTTTGTGAAAAGACGTTCAGTAAGAAAACCTTGCTTACGTTATTATGTAAATACAAATGATGTAGTAAAAATTTGCTTATGCTCCTTTCCCAGCCAAGATAATGATATCTGTTTTAAAGCAACATGGAAAAATAACCAGTACAGTATTCTTCTGGAAGCTCCCGGCAAGTAAAAGCAGATGTTTGTGTCATTTTATTTGGCCTTTGCTTGTCTCTGTTGTATTTCTTTAAATACTTTTCAAATAAATAGCTCTCGAGATGTATTGCCTTGGATTTACAAGTATGCCAATTAAGGGAACTAAAATTAGTTCATCCTGTCGTTTATCAGTAAGGGGAAATATACTTAAGATTATTTTATTTATTAAGATACGAAAGGCTTCTACATAAATGCACTGAAATAAATGCTTAGTAATTTCTTGTACTCTCTCTTTTTTTCTTTAACTTTTTGTTTGGTTTTGTTTTATTTTTGCTTCTCATGGAAATGTTTGTACTTTTTTATCATTGTCTTTTATGAAATACAATGTTCTAAAGACTTTGCGTGATGATGTGATTATTTTCTCTCAAATTCTTTTTGGCTTACCTGGGTTTTTATGTTTTTATTTTCCTAAATTCCAGGTGAATTACCCATGAATATTTTGGTTGACACTAGGGTTATAGCATAAACATATGACAACCATAACATTAAATACATTTAGAGAGATAACCTCACCATTTTCACCTTGAAGACAGTAATATTTAAATATTTTTATTAATGCAGTTGGTAATCTTCTATCAAGATGAATATTGAATAATTTATTTTTAACATAGATTTTCTTCTCACTGAACAACTTCAGTAAAGTAGCTCATGTGTTACGGTCAATTCACTTGTTTTTCAGGTATTTAGGAATATTGAAGGTCTTTGAGGCATAGTCAGATTTCAACAATACCCGGTGATAAGGTACGATTTGGGACTAGATTGTGAGATCATGTCTCTTACCGATTTATTCGTGTAATGAATTCTAGCTATTACTAGTTTTTATGCATGGTGTGACCTCAGGGATGTTGTCATTACTTATCTCAAATAAAATCAGTCATTAAATCATAATCATTTAGTTAAGTCATTTACACTCATCTTAGTCCAAAGACTGAGAAGCTTTATGTCATTTAAAGCCATAAAATTTAGCTTAGTCTGCCCTAGGCTCCTACCTATGGTATTAATGTGCCCTCTCATGAATCATGCTAACTCAGTAGTGTGTGGGTGCATGCATGCATGTGTGTGTGTGTGTTTTTGCCAGAGGACATGTGCACTCACCAGAGAGAGAGAGAGTGCCACAAAACTTTTTCCTTTTCTCCATCCCATCAGAATTTTGGACATGCATGCACATGCCCCTGGTATATTTTTCAAGCTACTGGGACAGAGATTTGAACCATCATCAGCTACATGGGCTCTGTCTTCCTATTTATAGGGTTCAACTACTGCCCTATAAAACTGCCTCACTTTGTGTGTGTGCTCACTACCTTTAAACACATGGATTTAAGGTTATGAACATATTTTGGACCAGAATGGTGGTTTTACTTGGAGTTGACTGTTCTTTTTTTTAAGAGAGTTTTTTTGGTATAGGGTGCTTGTGCTCACTGGAGAAGCAGAGACAGAGAGAAAGTGAGGAAGCACCCCCAGGGGCGTGGCCTTATCTCAATCCCTTCTCCTTCATTCTTCTCTCAGGATTTTGGGTGTACATGCAAACGTGCCTGGTTCAAGTCCCAAGCCACCGGGTCTGGGACTTGAACCGCAGTCGACTACATGAGAGTCCAGTGACATAATCATTACATCATCTGCTAGTACCAATGACTGTTCTTAATGAACATGTACTGTGTTGCTCTTAAGTGACTTCAGAAAAAAGTGATTTCTCACTCAACTATACTCCAGTGGGGAAAAAAATACTTAGTGTGAAAATAAGATGCATCTTTACACATTCATTTAACATTTTGATGGACTTTAATCCCCTTACTAATTCGAACGTGATCTACCACTTTAAGTTTGTGTTCCAGAAGATCTGCAAAGGTCACCAGATATTGCCTCTCCTCAGAGAGTTGGTCTTTCCCATATAAAACTGACGTAGAAACGCCTGAAGAACCACAGGCTATCAAATGAGATGCTCATTTGCGTTCTTTGCAAACATTGGTGTTCTGTTCCTCAGTGCACTGTTGTGCTAAAGAGCATTGTTCCAGGAGTAGCTTTTTCCGGGTACATACCATTTCTCAGTGGTAAACACATTTCACAAGGATATTCAAGATCATTGCTCTGTAACAGACCTTAAGCATTTGCAGTGAACTTTTAGAGGGCTCTGTGGAAGATGGGATTTAGAAGCAAAGACACTGGAGTCAGACTGATGTGAGTTTGAATTCAGGGATTCCCTGTCATTAACTGTGAAATACTAGAAAACATTTCAAAATGTTCTGGTCCTCCGTATTTCTTTTCTTTAAAGGAAGGATGATAATATCTACCAGGGGCCGTTGAAATGAAGTAAGCTAACCTTATCAGAGCATTAGCAGAGAGCCTTGACTCACTGAACCACAACCTGGCTCATAATGAGGTTTTCAGGTGTGGATTAACAAGGTTTCCTTTCCTGCGTGTTGTCTTGGATCATGTTTAATATTGCTTTCTTTGGGTGTAGGAAATGAAGTCAGCGGTTCTCTCATGAATGAAAACAATTTGTTAAACTGCCAAAAGTGAGTAATCAGAGTTTGTTAGTAATAATTGTGAGAGTGAATGTGCTAATAGCAGATAGGAATCGGTCTCCATTTCCTCAGAGGGTAGTTTTTAGCACGTGATGTGGAAGGCACTCATTACAGTCTGGTGCATGGAAGGCACTCAGCGGCCTGGAGCTTGCCTCAGCGGAGGAGTTATGTGGCCCCGTGTGCCTGGGCTCCTGCCCTCTTCTACGTTACTTTGCCTTTTCCACATATCCTCAGCCTCCTTGGAAAGTCTTTGCCTTGTGTTCTCCTTTCTTCTTGATCAACACTCACCCACTTTTTAAAAGAGAGACTTTTGCTATAGGGCGCATGTGCTGGCGACACAGAGAAGCAGACAGAAAGCGAGAAATCGCCTCCCGGGGCGGATGGCCACGCTGCAATCTCTTCTCCATTCTCTTTCTGAGATCTTGCGCATGCACACACATGTGCCCAGTGTGAGTTTTAAGCCTCCAGGCCCAGGACTCGGACCATGGTCAACTACATGGGAGTTAAATGTCGTAACCATTACACCAACTGCCAGACCCTCAACACTCACGTTCTAGGAGCACTCCCCCCCACAGAAGTTTTTGCTGTAGGACACATGTGCTCGCCAGAAAGACACAGAGAGAGAGACAGAAAGTGAGAAATCACCCCCAGGGTGGATGGCCACACCGCAATCCCTTCTCCTCCATTTTCCTCCTGGGATCTTGGGCACGCATGCACACGTGCCTGGTGTGAGTTGAAGCCACCAGGTCCGGAACTCAACCGTGGTTGACTACATGGGAGTTCAGCAACATAGCCATTACGCTAACTGCTGGTCTCTCTAGGAGCACTTTTGACTAGCATCCAATAGAATGTTCCATGTTGACAGAAATGCAGATACCTGTGTTGTCAGTTGTAGCTGCTGTTCAAGTGTGCCTTACACACTTGAAATGGGACTTGTGTGAGTAAGGAACTGTAGTTTGGACTGTTACTTAAATTGTAATATCAATAGATGCAGCAGGTGATTTCTCATGCTTCCAAATTTGTTAAGTACATGAACCCCAATCCTCCTGCCCTGGGCATATTCAGGAGACCCCCAAATCTGTCTCCAGCTCTGAACTCTTAGCTCACGTCTCATATTGTCAGCTTATTGGTCATCCCCACCTGTTCACAGAAATGTAAAAGCATGCAGAGTCCCCTTCAAAGCCTTGTCTTGTTTTCCCATCCCCCTGGTGACCTGAGACATCCTCCCTTTTTCTCTGTGTAGCTGTCATTAACTCCACTTCTTAGTTCACTGTCTAGTTCACACTGTCTCCATTACAACTGCCCAGATGCTCTCCTGTCTTCTGTAAGGTTATGTCTCTGCACCCATTTTAGTGTGTCTTTTAAACTCTGGCTTACAATCTCTCAGTGGTTCCCACTTCCTATGGGTAAGGTCAGAGTCTGCCGCTCATACCAGACCCTTAATGATCTGACTTCTGCTTGGCTCTCCAGGGCTGACCCCTCACTTCCTTCCCATTGCACCCTTTCATTCTCTAGCCACCTGTGAGCTGCTCCCAGTGACCTGACCAGGCCCCTCACCCTTTGCACATCATCTTTTTACGTTCCCACCAGAAGATCTTCCATCTAGCTTTTAAAACTCAGTAAGTTCTTCCAGAAGCCTTCCCTGGCCCACCATAGTAAATTTGTACTCCCTTACGGCCCTGCCCTAAGTTCATGACTCTGAAAGCCTGACTCACACTGGTGTAGTTAACTGAGCACAGGTTTTTTTCTCCCAAAGTCCTATCTCTGAGTAGCAGTCAGTGTCTTACCTATTTTTGTACTCTTAGTGTCTATTAGGTTGTCGGGAAAGTCATGACATGTTTTTCTATGCAAAAATGTGTGATGAATTTCCCAACAACCCAATATTGATAGCACAGTACTCAGTGAACAATCCGTCTTCTCGAGGGAACACTCTTCTGTCTAATGAGAAAGAACACAGTGTTCTAAATTACTGTTTCATTAATACATGTACCTTGTACTTACCGGATTATGTTAAGATCAATGCTTTCATTATGACGACTAAGGGCCATCATCAGAATGTGTGACTCACCTACAAATATGTCTCAATAGAGAGCCAAGCCTTCTTTTATTCAACATTTTTTTTAAATTTGAGGACACACACACACACACACACACACACACACACATATATATATATATATATATATAAAGTTTTTAAAAATTGGACTAGTAGGTGGCATGGAGGTTAAGGCTCTGGATCCTACATGGCCAGCTGTGTGGTCCAAGTTCTGGACCCAGTGGCTTGAAAATCATGCCAGGGACATGTGCAAGTGTGCCCAAAATCTGGGAAGGAGAATGGAGGAAAAGGGATCGCAGTGTGGCTATCCTCCCTCACCCCCACCACCACCCAGGATGTCTCATTTTCCTCTCTGTCTCTCTGGAGAGTGCAGGTGCCCTATAGTAAAAACTAAAAATAAACATTAACAGATTTGCATGTAAAAGAAAAATGCAGAGTTCGCGGCCAAGATAACCTTTATTAAGAAAAAAAAAAAGTGAAAAGACTCAGGGACCAGCAGATGCTGTAATAGTTATGTCACTAGATTCCCAGATAGTCAACCGCAGTTTGAATTCTGAACCTGGCAGCTTAAGCTCACACCAGGTGCATGTGTGTGCTTGTCCAAAGTCCTGAGAGAATGGAGAAGAAGGGATTGCAGTATGGCCATTCCCCCCTGGGGGGTGATTTCTCACTTTCTGTCTCTGTCTCTGGTGAGCATAAAAATCTATAGCAAAAATCTCTAAAAAAAAGAAAGACTCACACATGAAAAGTAAAGTTACC